AGCCATTGTCTCACTCTGTCACCCAGGCTGGAACACAGTGGAATAATCATAGTTCACTGCATCCTTGAACTCCTAGGCTCAAGTAATCCTCCTGCCTCAGCATCCCAAATAGCTGGGACTAAAAGTGCACACCACCACACGTGGATCAATTTTTTTTTTTTTTTTAATTTTTTTGTAGAGACAGGGTCTCGCTATGTTGCCTAGACTGTCAACCTTATTAAATCTGTTATTCAGATCTCTATATTCTTGTTTATATTTTGCTTTGTTGATCTGACAAGGATAGTAAATTCTTTTACTACCATTGTGTGTGTGTGTGTGTGTGTGTGTGTGCGTTTTTCTTTTGGACAGGGTCTTGCTCTGTCATCCAGGCTAGAGTGCAGTGGTGCAATCACAGCTCACTGCAGACTTGACCTCTGGGCTCAAGCAATCTTCCCATCTCAGCCTCCCAAGAAGCTAAGATTATAAGCATGTGGTACCACATCTGGCTAATTTTTAAATTTTTTGTAGAGATGAGGTCTCACTATGTTGCCTGGGCTGGTCTCAAACTCCTGGCCTCAACCAATCCTCCCACCTTAGATCCCAAAGTGCTGGGATTATACATATGTGCCACCATGCCCAGCCCCACTGTAGGTTTTAACTACCTTTTTTCCTTACATTTCTAACTTTTTGATCTACATGCTGTGGTATGTGTATGTCTGGTGGACTGACTGACTGACTGATTGACAGACAGGGTCTCACTCTGTCACCCAGGCTGGAGTGCAGTAGCATCATGGCTCACTGCAGCCTTGATCTCCTGGGCTCAAGCAATCCTCCTGCCTCAGCCTCCCAAGTAGCTGAGTGTGGGCCAGTATGCCTGGCTTTTTTTTTTTTTTTTTTTTTTTTTTTTTAATTTTTTGTGTAGACGAGGTCCCACTATGTTGCCCAGGCTTGTCTTGAACTCCTGGCCTCAAGAAATCCTCCCACCTCAGCCTTCCCAGTGCTGGGATTACAGGCATAAGCCACTGCACCTGGCCCCATGTTTTGCTTTAAAGTTACTTGAAGAATATAAAGGTTCATGATAAATATGTACTTCTTATTTTAGCTGGGTGTGGTGGCACCTGCCTACTCAGGAGGCTGAGGCGGGAGGATCGCTTGAACCCAAGAGGTGGAGATTGCAGTGAGCCGAGATTGCGCCACTACACTCTAACTTGGGCAACAGAGCAAGACCCTGTCTCTAAATAAATAAATTAATAAATAAATACTTCTTATCAATACTAAATGACCCCTGGTTGTCAGTTAATACTTTTTTGCCTTGACAATTAGCCTTTGTCTGATATTAATGCTGTGATCTATGATTTATTTTTGTAGGCATTTTTCTGACAAACTTTTGCCTGTTATTTTACATTTAACATTTGTAACAGCTTTACAAATACACAGTTCACACACCGTAAGTATTTGTTTCCTATGGCTCCCACAAATCACCACAAACTAGGTGGCTTAAACCCACACAAATTTATTTTCTTGGTTTCACTTGGCAAAAGTCAAGGTGTTGGCAGGGCCGGGTCCTTCTGCAGGCTCTAAGGGTGCATCTCTAAGACAGAATTGTTTCTTTGTCTTGTCTAGCTTCTGTCTAGCCTGTATCACTGGCTCTGGACCCCCTCCTTGCGTCCAACCTCTTGCTTCCACCAACACATCTACTTCTATGCCAATCTCCCTTCGTTTTCCTCTTATAAAGATACTTGTGATTACATTTAGGGCCTACCTGGATAATCAAGAATAATCTCCCCATCTCAAGACCCTTAACTTAATTACAAGTGCATTTTTGCTGTATAAGGTAACAGTCACAGGTTCCAGGGATGGGGACCTGTACATCTCTGGGGGGGTCATTATTCAGTTTGCCATACCATACAATTCACCCATTTAAAGGGTCAGACTTCATACTCGTAGGGTCCTAAAATTATCACCAAAATCTAATTTTGGAGCATTTCATTCCCCCTAAAAGAAACTCCATGCCCATGGCTCTCACTCCCCATTCCTCCCTTCCCCTTCCCCAGTCTCTGGCAACCATTAATCCACTCTCTCTCTCTAAATAAGATTTATCTATCCTGGACATTGCATATAAATGGAATCCTACAATATGTGATCTTTTGTGACTGAGTTCTTTTGGTTACAACAATGTTTTAAAGGTTCATCCATGCTGTACTATAATATCAGTACTTCTTCCCTTTTTCTTGCTGAATAATATTCCATTCTATGGATATACCACATTTTATTTATCCATTCATCAGCCGATGAACATTTGAGTTGTTTCCACTTTTTGGCAATTATAAATAATGCTGCTATAAACACTGTATACGAGTTTGTGTGTGAACATACACTTTCAGTTCTCTTGGGTATAACTCAGGAATAGAACTGCTAGGTCACATGGCAACTCTAATTTTAACATTTTCAGAGACTGACAAACTGTTTTCCAAAGCAGCCGTATCATTTTGCCTTTTCTTTCTCCAAATCTTCACCAACACTTACTGTTGTCTTTTTGATTATAGTCATCCCTGTGGTTATGAAGTGGTATCTCACTGTGGTTTTTATTTTCTAATGATTAATAATCATAGTCATGAGGGAAATGAAAATCAAAATGTGATTATTAATGATAAATGACTATAATTAATGATAATTATTTATCATTAGTTCTCATGTGCTTTTTGACCATTTCTATATCTTCTTCGAAGAAATATCTATTCAGATCTTTTGCCTATTTTTATTTTTATTATTTTTTGAGACAGAGTCTCACTCAGTTACCCATGCTGGAGTGCAGTGGCACGTGATCTCAGCTCACTGCAACCTCTGACTCCTGGGTTCAAGAAATTTTCCTGCCTCGGCCTCCTGAGTAGATGGCATTACAGGTGCCCACCACCACATCTGGCTAATTTTTGTATTTTTAGTAGACATGGGGTTTCACCATATTGGCCGGGCTGGTGTTGAACTCCTGACTTCAAGTGATCTACCTGCCTTGGCCTCCCAAAGTGCTAGGATTACAGGAGTGAGCCACTGTGTGTGGCCCTTTTGCCTATTTTTAAATTGGGTTGTCTTTCTGTTTTTTTTTTGAGATGGAGTCTCGCTCTGTTGCCCAGACTGGAGTGCAGTGGCACGATCTTGGCTCTCTGCAACCTCCACCTCCTGGGTTCAAGAGATTCTTCTGCCTCAGCCTCCTGAGTGGCTGGACTACAGGCAGGTGCCACCACGCCCGGCTTTTTTTTGTATTTTTAGTAGAGGTGGGGTTTCACCATATTGGCCAGGCTGATCTTGAACTTCTGACCTCATGATCCGCCCGCTTTTTATTGTTGAGTTGTAAGAATTCCTTGTATATTCTCAACATAAGTTTTTTTTTTTATGAGACATATGACTTGCAAATATTTCTCCCATTCTGCGTGTTGTCTTTTCACTTTCTTTATTCTATTACTTGCAGCTGCTTTTAACATTTGTGAGTGGCTATGAGTATGACATATACACTGAATAGAGACAGGTTTGATTTGGATTGTTGTTCCAACCTGAAAGAACATCTATGCCCTTAACAAGGCAGTTTAACCCATTTATATGTATGTTTTATAACAGAATTAACTGGCCTCACTTGTACTATTTTGTTCTAGACTATGTGTTTTATTTAGTTTTTAAAAATTCCTTCCTTGTTTCTATCTTTTATACAGAGACTTGGTTTCATTTTTTTTCTTCAGTGCTCTGGAAGATATATTCTGCTTCTAATTTTACCGGTACTTGTAGTCCCTAACCTGTATTTATCAATGTCAGTCAAAGGTAAAATGCTTTTTATCTCAGTCTAGTGTATCCTGTTTAACAGAGTCTATATCTTCTAGTATTCAATGGAGGACTCCAACAGCTTTGCAAAACTTAAAAAAATGTTTTTGCAGTGAGTAATTTTCTGAAGTATTTTTCTGAGTCTTCTAGATGAATCTTTTTCATAGACTGCATCATCTTTAGTACTATCAGTAGTATTGTTTCAGATTTTTGGTACTAAAGAAGAGAAGACATGCCCAGATTTCAAGTTTGTCAACAGTGTGACAGTAAAGGCTATTTCTCAGATACCATTTTGAAGTAGGAGCCTTCTACTATATTCTTCTAAGGAAAAGTCCTAACACATCCTAACTGTAGGGCTTCAGGAATTTTTGGAAAAACTCAAAATAAAACTCAAAAATGTTAAGAAATACCCACATTTCAGGGATGGGAAGATGGTATGAAAAAAAAAAACAACAAACAGAACTTCTATCAATTGATTACTAATTCTGAACTCAAAAAATGTCTTTATTCAATATGGGAGACATCTAATAAATGTCATTTTAAGCTAATAAATTTTATCCTAATAAAAACAAAATGCAATTTAAATCTTGACAGATCATTACTCCACTGATTCAAAGTTAATTTGGCCCCAGAAGGAACAGTTCCTATTGTATAAGTATGCAGGGGCAAAAGACTATTTTTATAAAATTAGCTCTGGATAGTTATACAATCAAAATGTTCAAATATAGTTCTATATTTGCAGCAGAGTATTAAATCAATTCTTTGATAAATGTAAGAGATTTCAAATATGTAACTCAAATAACTGATCAATAAAATGCCCCCCAGGTTTCCCTTAGGAAATTGACACCTTGGAATTATCTACTATTTTGTTTCTGATATAAATCAGTAATTTTCTTACAAAATCCTGCATTGTTTCCTAACAAACAAAACCCCTTGTTTCCCCCTCCCGTCCCCACTTCCCCCGGTCACCCATTGCATCTGGGCAGGTAAAATACCTTGACACAGGTAAAATACCTTGACACAGGAAGTAAAAACAGTAATGATCATTTTGTTTTGATATGCATAAAGCAATCTGAAAACTAGTCCCCTCTCCCATGCCTGGATTAGGGGGTAACAGAAATGCCAACTGTTATTCTTGACAGAGGATCAGAAGAATGGAAGCAGCTGACAGAAAGCAAAGGGCAAGCGAGAACAGCTTGGTTGTGACTTACCACATTCTCCAAAGGTGCTGCACCAAACACTTTAAAGACAGGGTTAGGTTTGGAGGGTGAGATACAGAGGACAATAGCTTGCTGTCCCACGCGAGTAGTATATTCATCTAATGTGGCTCGAAGTTTCCTGAATCAGAAAAGGAAACAAGAATAAAAACAGTTTTAAAAAGATGGAAATTATAGTGACATAGACACAAATGACTTAAGACAGTTTACTCTGATCAGATATGCTTTCTTTTATGTAAAATGTGAAAAGGGGATCAGCAGAAACATGTACATACCTTTTTCTTAAAGACTACTGATAGAAGGCTCAATTGAAAGTTTTGCCTTGGGACATAACCACGACACAATTTTGAACATGGTATCATTCTTCTTGATCTGAGTAACACCACTTACTGCTACTTAAAATTATAAAGATTACAACTGTCCAGGCATGGTGGCTCATTTCTGTTGTAATCCCAGCACTCTGGGAGGCTGAGGCGGGCGGATCACTTGAGGCCAGGAGTTCGAGACCAGCCTGGCCAACATGGTGTAAAGCCCGTCCCTACTAAAAATACAAAAACATTAGCCAGGCTTGGTGGCACATGCCTGTAATCCTAGATTCTTGGGAGTCTGAGGCATGAGAATTGCTTGAATCCAAGAGGTGGAGGTTGCAGTGAACCAAGATGGTGCCACTGCACTCCAGCCTGGGCAACAGAGTGAGACTTTGCCTCAAAAAAAAAAAATTACAACCAAAATGTGGTCTTACAAAATTTATTATATCATCTCCACGCTTAATAAAAGGGGATCAAATGATTTGCTTTTACTACCTTTTATTGATATTGTTTATATCTCATTGAGATAATTTTGTCCAAAAGTACTACAAGCATACCTAGTTTTAATGTGCTTTGTTACTTTGTGTTTCACAGACACTGTTTGGGATCTTTCTTTAAAACAAAGGTTTGTGGCAACCCTATGTCAAGCAAGTTCATCAGCGCCATTTTCCTAACAGCATGTGCTCACTGCATGTCTCTGTGTCACATTTTGGTAACCCTAGTAACATTTCAAACTCTTCCATTATGATTATAATCTGTTATAGTGATCTGTGATCAGTGATCTTTGATGTTACTATTTTAATTGTTTTGGGACACCACAAACAGTGCCCACAAAAGACAACAAACTTTACCGATAAATGTTGTGTGTGTTCTGAATGCCCCACTGATCAACTGTTTCCTGCCTCTCTCCCTCTCCTCAGGCCTTCCTGTTCTCTGAGACACAGTATTGAAATTAGGCCAACTGATAACCCTATAATGGCCTCTAAGTGTTCAAGTTTCAGGAAGAGTCGCACATCTCTCACTTTTAATCAAAAGCTAGACATGACTAAGCCTAGTGAGGAAGGCATGTCGAAAGCCAACACAGGCTGACAGCAACGCCGCTTATGCCAAACAGTTGGCCGTGTTGTTAATGCAAAGGAAAGTCCTTGAGAGAAATTACAAGTGCTACTCCAATGAACACACAAATGATAAGAAAGCAAAACAGTTTTATCGCTGATATGGAGAAAGTTTTAGTGGTCTGGATAAAAGATCATACCAGCCACAACAATCCCATAGGCCAAAGTCTAATGCAGAGCAAAGCCCTGACTGTTTCAGAGGTTGGTTCATGAGGTTCAAGGAAAGAAGCCATCTCCAATACATAAAAGTACAAAGTGAAGCTGCAAGTGCTGATGTAGAAGCTGGAGCAAGTTATCCAGATGATCTAGCTAAGTGGTTACACTAAACAACAGATTTTCAATGTAGACAAAACAGTCTTCTATTGGAAGAAGATACCATCTAGGACTTTCCTAGCTAGAGAGAAGTCGATGCCAGGTTTCAAAGCTTCAAAGGACAGGCTGACCCTCTTGTTAGGGGCTAATGCAGCTAGTGACTTTAGGGTCCTTTAAAAATCATGCTAAATCTATTCTGCCTGTCCTCTGTAAACAGAATAATAAAACCTGGATAGCAGTACATCTGTTTACAGCATAGTTTATGGACTATTTTAAGCCCACTGTTGAGACCCACTGCTCAGAAAAAAAAAATTCCCTTCAAACTATTGTTGCACATTGACAATGCACCCAGTCACCCAAGAGCTCTAACGGAGATATACAAAGAGATTAATGCTGTTTTCATGCCTGCTAAGACAACATCCATTCTGCAGCTCACGGATCAAGGAGTCATTTCAACATTCAGGTCTTATTAAGTAAGAAATACATTTTGAAAGGATATAGCTGCTATAATGATTCCTCTGATGGATCTGGGTAAAATAAATTGAAAACTTTCTAGAATGGATTCATCATTCAAGATGCCATTAAGAGTACTTGTAATTCATCTACAAGTACATGGGAGGAGGTCAAATTATCAACATTAATGGAAGTTTGGAAGAACTTGATTCCAAGCCTCATGCATGACTTTAAGGAGTTCAACACTTCAGTGGAGGAAGTAACTGCAGATGCAGTAGAAACAGTAAAAGAACCAGAATTAAAAGTGGACCCTGAAAATGGGACTGAATTGCTACAATATCATGATAAAATTTGAAGGGATGAGAGGTGCTTCTTATTGATGAGCAAAGAAAGCAGTTTCCTGAGATGAAATCTACTCCTGATGAAGATGCTATGAATACTGTTGAAATGACAATAAAAGATTTAGAATATGACACAAACTGAATTGATGAAGCAGCAGCAGAGTTTGAGGGGATTAATTTTCCAATTTTGAAAGTTTTACTGTGGGTAAAATGCTATCAAACAGCATCACATGTTACAGAGAGATCGTTCATGAAAGAAAGAGTCAATCCATACAGCAAAATTTGTTGTCTTATTTTTAAGAAATTGCCACAGCCACCCCAACCGTCAGCAACAATTACCCTGATCAGTCAGCAGTCATCAACTCCGAGGTAAGACCCTCAACCAGCAATACGATGATGACTCACTGCAGGTTCGGATGAGCATTAGCATCTTTTTAGCGATTAAGTGTTTTAGTGGTCAGGCCCAGTGGCTCACGCCTATAATTCCAGCACTTTGGGAGGATGAGGCGGGAGGATTGCTTGAGCCCAGGAGTTTAAGCCCAGTCTGGGTAACATAGTGAGACCCTGTCTTCACAAAAAGAAGAAAAAATTTGCCAGGTATGGTAACATGCACCTATTTTCCCAGCTACTTGGGAGGCTAAGTGAGAGGATCACTTGAGCCCAGGAGATGGAGGCTGCAGTGAGCCATGATCGCACCACTGCACTCTAGCCTGGACAAGAGAGCTAGAATTTGTTCTAAAAAAAAAAAAAAAAAAAAAAAAAATTTAAAAATTATGGTATGTACATTGCTTTTTTTAGATATAATACCATTGCAACACTTAACAGAGTATAGTGTTAACATAACTTTTTTATGCATTGAGAAACCAAAAAATTTCTGTGACTTATTGTGATACTTGCTTTATTGTAGTGGTCTGGAACCAAACCTACAATATCTTCAAGGTATACCTATGCTTTTAAAACGTTGTAGCTTCAGATTTTCATTGTGATATAAACAATTATTCTTAGTCCTACAGTATTTCACAAGTGAGGATGAAATGAAAACAGTTTTTTTTTAAGATGGAGTCTCACTCTGTTGCCTAGGCTAGAGTGCAGTGGTGCAATCTTGGCTCACTGCAGCCTCTGCCTCCTGGGTTAAAGCTATTCTCCCGCCTCAGTCTCCCGACTAGCTGGGATTATAGGCGCCTGCCACCATGCCTGGCTAATATTTTGTATTTTTAGTAGAGATGCGGTTTCACCATGTTGGCCGAGCTGGTCTTGAACTCCCGACCTCAGGTGATCTGCCCACCTTGGCCTCCCAAAGTGCTAGGATTATAGGTGTGAGCCACCATGCCCAGCCGAAAACGGCTTAAAAAAAATTATTTTACTTTAAGTTCCGGGATACATGTAGAGAATGTGCAGGTTTGTTACAAAGGTATACATATGCCATGGTGGTCTGCTGTACCCATCAACCCAAAAACAGCTTTTTAAAACATAGTAACAATGGATGAAACAGAAACACAGCCTCTTCCCTCTGAAATCATGGGAGATGATTTCAAAGTTCTACATTTCAGAATTCTGAAATGTGTGAGCAAAGGACCACTTATCAAACAAGAAATCTGATGGAATTCCTTGAAACAATGGTTTATGTTCACTGTCTCTAATTCCCCTCTCTCCATTCTCCGTTAAAGCTATTCCAATCTTTTCACCCTTACCGCTCCTTTGAATACACTCTTTTCAAGTTCAATCGTGAACTCCATGTTACTAAATCTAATGGTCAGTTGGCGTCTTTTTCAACCTGTCAGAAGCATTTGATAGCTGATCACATGCTCTCCTTCCTGACACACTTTTTGTACCTGGTTTCCAGGATACCACTCTCTTGGTTTGTTTCCTGACTCACTGGTTGCTTCTTAGACTCTTTTGCTGGCTCCTTTCATCTCTCTAACCTCCAATAGGTGGAGCGCTTCAGGCCTCAGTCCATACTCCCTCCCTAAGTGACCTCATCCAGTCTCCTAGTTCTAAATACTACTTATATGCTTATATCATCTTCAACTAAGGCCTCTCATTTGAATTCCAGACTCATATATCCAACTGCTTATTTTGTATCTCCACTTAATGGTTAGAGGCATCACAAACTTACCAGGTCCAAAACCAAATTCCTGATTCTGTCTCACCCTCACTGTCATGCTTGCTCCCTCTCCAGTAAATGCCATCGCAATCCTTCTAGTAATCAGACCAAAATCACCCTGCACTCCTTTTTCTCTTGCACACTCCACGTCAATGAATCATGATGAGTTGACTTTTGAAATACATCTAGAACCTGATCACTTCTTACTACCCATGCTGCTGCCATGTTGATTTTAAGACACTATCATTTCTGGCCTAGATTACTATAATCACCACCTAATTGGTCTCCCTGATTCCATTCTTGTATCCTCAGATTCTATTCTCAATACCGTAGCCTGAGTGATTCTTTAAAAATGTAAGTAAGATGATACCATTGCTCTGGTCAAAAACCTACACTGACATCTCATCTCACTCAGAGTAAGAGTCAAGCCCCTGATATTGGACTATAAGATCTCCTAGGCCAGGTGCAGTGACCCACACCTGTAATCCCAGCATTTTGGGGATGAGGCACAAGGATTGCTTAAGGCCAGGAGTCCCAGACCAGCCTGGACAACATAGCAGGACCGCATCTATCAAAAAAAAAAAAAAAAAGATCTCCTGGAGTGGCTCTTCTCTACTACTCCGAACATCTTCTCATATCTCCCTGGCTGTTCCTCAAAAACAACTACCACGTTCACACTTCGGGGTCTTTGTTCTTGATACTTCCCCTGCCTGAGATGTTCTTCCCCTCAGTATCAACGTGTGTGCTCTTTCAGTGTCTTCAAGTCTCTGTTCAAAGGCTGCCTTATCAAAAAGCATTTCCCAGACCATCCTCATAAAAGAGAAAAATGACTATATCCCCCTACCTCCTGACTTTTCTATTTTCCTTACTCCACTGTATTTTTTTTCCCATTGCACTTATCATCACCTGACATATTGCATATCGTTTTTTTTCTTTCCCCCTTCTAGCAGGATATAAGCTCTTTAAAGCAACTTGTTTTGTTCACTCTTCTATGCCCAATGTCTACAACAATGGCTTGCACATAGCAGGCATACAACTTTTCTGAATGGATTAATGTGATATTACATATCTGTTAAATCATATTTCTTTGTTTTCATGTATTTAATTTTGTAAGAATACTTTTAAGTCTACATCTGTCATCAAGGAATCAAACCAAGCATCCTTGACAAACCTAACCATATATGTTCTAAGTCTGTCATCCACAGGAAGTATTTGAGGAATAGTAATAATATGGATAAGGGAGCCCTCACCGAAGCAAACGTGTTTGTTGCCTCTTCCGGATAGATGGATTAGACTCAAATACATGAGGCCGTTTCCGTTTCTTTCCTGTTGCCACAGCAGCAGCAGCGGCCATTCCCACAGGACCTGAAATAATAACGTATGTGCTGAGATTAGGCAGCTGCCTGTAAACTGTTCAAAACAGAAACAATTAAAGGTACAAAAAAGGTAGCACTGCTTTCCCAATATGTTGTCAGTAAATATAGAATGGTCCTGATATTATCAATATACTTTACTATTGTTTAACATGATTCATATTGTGATTTACCAATAAAGCATATAATGAATCCTGTAAAAAAGCAAATGATTTACACCTCCCCACCACACACCAGTTTGAATTTTGTATAATGTTGTTTTTGTTTGGCTTTGTTTTGCCAGTATGCCCATACTGTTAAGGCAATATTCTTAGAGGTGCTAGGAAAAATTGCAGCACTAAGAGGAAAAGCTTGCCAAAATTGAAAAAAATTACAGATTTTACTTCTATCCCTGTGTCCCTGTTTCCATTACTCCAAGACATTGCCAAGTTAAGGAAGTTGGAGATAATCACTCACATTTGGAACTCCAACAACACCTAAAGGAGTATGTGAATGAATACCATCGTAATTGAAAAAATTTTCTTGTATATCTGGGAATTGTGCCAAAAATGGAGATGTTCAACACAAGGTCAAGTTGATGAAGGCATTCTGGCAGAAAAGAGATAACTTTCCCACTCTGAGAAAATGTTAATAAAAGTTAGTCTGGCTTGCCCTGAAACTAATGTATAATGTCTTGTTTTGTCTTTTGAAGGGTAGATGGAGGGTAGACTCTAAGGAACTGTTGAAGTCTCTGATTCCTGGGACCTCAACATATCAAAGACAATCTTTTTTAAAAGGCATGTTACCTTTATCTTTATTTGTGAATCTTGTAAAAGGCTTAAATAAAAATTAAATTTAATTGCTCATCTGTACATTGGCATATATATTCTAAGTGGCTCAAGTAAAATAAGCCTCCCTCTAAACCTAAATGAACTTTTCTACATGTTGTTAGTAATATAATCAGCCTGACTTAAATAAACCCCTCTAAAGAACCTCAAAGCAAATAAAAAATAAACGACTGCTTTTTACCTTTCTTTCCATCATAAATAGCTGTTATGGAAAAAATTTTATTGCTGCATTTCCCAACATTTTATTTATTTTTCAAAATTGTGGTAAGAACACTCAACATGTTATCTACTCTCTTAAAATGTAAAGTGTACAATACATCATTGCTAACTATAAGCCCAATGTTGTACGGCTATCTAGAACTTATTCCCCTTGCATCACTGAAGAGCAACTCCCCATCTGTCCCTCACCCCAGATCCTGGCAACCACCATTCTCCTCTGTTTCTATGACTATTTTAGATACCTTCTATAAGTACAGTCATGCAGTGTTTGTCTTTCTATGACTGGTTTGTTTCACTTATCATAATGTCCCCAAGGTTGAACCACGTTGACACATATGACAGCATTCCCTTGTGTTTTTAAGGGTAAATAATGTTCCATTGTACATGCAGATTGCTTTGGTCATTCATCCACCAATGGGCATTTAGGCTATTTTCACATCTTGCTATTGTAAATAACACAACAATGAACAAAGAAGTGCAGATATCTCTTTGGGGTCCTGATTTCAATTCTCTTGGATAAATACCCAGAAGTGAGACGCCAGGATCATATATGGTAATTCTAGTTTTAATTTTCTGGAGGAATCTCCATGCTGTTTTCCATAGCGGCTGGACCACTGTACATTCCCAACAGTATATAAGGGTTCCAGTTGCTTTATGGCCTCACCGCCACCAGTTATCTTTTATATTTTTGATGACAGTTGGGCATCTAACCTGTTGGTGATTTTATGTCTTCTTTACAGAGATGTCTATTTGAGTCCCTTGCCCATTTTTTATATTGAGTTATTTGGTTTCTTGCAGCTTAGTTGTAGGAGTCCAATATTTTATTATAAAAACTTCAAAACATATGTGCAAAGTTGAATTTTAACATCTTATTATACATTATCTATCCATCTTTCTATCCATTCATCAACTCACATTGAGGTTTTTAATGTGTTTCAAAGCAAACTGCGAATATCAGTATGATCCCCCTAAATACTTCAGCAGGTACAGCATCAGCTAGAGTTCAATATTTTACAATTTTTTTCTTTTGAGGTAAAATTTGCATATAATGAAGTGTACAAATCCAAGTATACATTCAATAAATTTTAAAAATGTATATACTCATGAAACTCAAGATCTGGCCAGGCACAGTGGCTCATGCCTGTAATCCCAGCACTTTGGGAGGCTGAGGCGGGAGGATCACCCGAGGTCAGGAGTTTGAGACCAGTTTGACCAAGATGGTGAAACCCCATCTCCACTAAAAATACAAAATTAGCTGGGCATGGCGGCGCATGCCTGCAGTCCCAGCTACTTGGGAGGCTGGGGCAGGAAAATCGCTTGAATCTGGGAGGCAGAGATTGCAGTGAGCCGAGATCACACCACTGCACTCCAGCCTGGGTGAAAGAGCAAGACTCCGTATCAAAAAAAGAAAGAGGAGTAGGGGAGGGCAAGAGAGGGGCAGAGTGAGACCCTATCTCTAATAAATAAATAAATACCTTTAAAAATGAAAATTTGAAAAAATTATAATTTCTACAATAAACTGGTATATTTTATAAAGTCAGAGTTAAGAAGAATTCCTTAAACAAAATCCCAAAAGGATAAACCATAAGGTAAAAGATTAATAAATTTCACAATAATATAAATAAGAACCTTCATGAACAAAAAAATAAAATAAATGGGGTGGGCAACAAACTGGGAGAAAATAATTACATATTATTTTTATGTATGCATAAAAATGCATACTGCAACCTCCGCCTCCCAGATTACATAATATGTAATATTAAATGTAATATTAAAATAATTACATATTACATATTATTGGGAAAGGAATGCAAAATATATATCAATAATTTTTACAAATTGATATGAAAAAAGACCAAAAAACTGAGTTGGAAAATGGGCAAAGGTATAAACAGGAAATAGGCAAATAAAGAAAATGGAGAAGTCAATAAAGATCTAAAATGGTGCTCTACTTTGTCTTACTGCACTGGCTGGAACCTCTAGCTCAAAAATGCAAATTAAACCAACACTGAGATGCCATTTCATACCTACCAGATTGGCAAAAATGAAAAAGACTGGTAACACCAATGGTGAGAATGAGAAGCAACAGGCACTGCAGCACACTGCTTGTGGGGATGTAAATGAACACGATTTGGAAAGACATTTAGCAATATCTAGTAAAGTTGAAAATGGATATCTTTGGCCCTCCAATTCCCCTCCTGGGTATATCCTCCAGTAGTACTTTTCAAGCTACAGCTAGTGTGACCTTTCAGTGGCTCATGAGTGTTTTTTTTTTTGTTTTTTTTTTTTTTGAGACAGTGTTTCACTCTTGTTGCTCAGGCTGGAGTGCAATGGCACAATCTCGGCTCACCGCAACCTCGACCTCCCAGGTTCAAGCAATTCTCCTGCCTCAGCCTCCCTGGTAGCCGGGATTATAGGCATGTGCCACCACGCCCAGCTAATTTTGTATTCTTAGTAGAGGCGGGGTTTCTCCATGTTGGTCAGGCTGGTCTCGAACTCCCAACCTGAGGTGATCCACCCGCCTCGGCCTCCCAAAGTGCTGGGATTACAGGCGTGAGCCACCATGCCCGGTCCAGTGCATTTTTTTCTAATAAAATAGAACAGAGAAGAACATATCACAGAGTATATAATTTCCAGTAGGGGTATTACCTCATTAAAAATTGTAGTTTTGGCTATATGTGTATTCATTTATTTTGGGTCACAATGTAAAATGTATTACTGTGGTACATTGTCAAAATAGAAAAAATTACAAACAACCTGCGTATCTACCAATATATGAAATATTCAGGCTGGATGCCGTGGCTCACGCCTGTAATCCCAACACTTTGGGAGGCTGGGGTGGGCGGATCACTTGAGGTTCAAGACCAGCATGGCCAACATGGTAAAACCCCATCTCTACTAAAAATACAAAAATTAACCAGGCATGGTGGTGTGTGCCTGTAGTTCCAGCTACTCAGGAGGTTGAGGCAGGATAATTGCTTGAACCTAGGAGGCAGAGGTTGCAGTGAGCCGAGACCACGCCACTGCACTCCAGCCGGGGCAGCAGAGTGAAACTCCATCTCAAAACAACAACAACAACAACAGAGAAAGAAATATTCAGATAATGAATGAAACACCAAATAACAGTTAAAATAAAAACAGCCACATTATCAACATGGGTGAATCTCAAAAAAACGTTGAATGAGAAACATATTACAGAAACATAGTATCACAGTGATACCATTAATATAAAATTTAACACATGCAAAACAATGCTAAGTATTGTTTAATCATACAGACACATAATAGCAAATATAGACAAATGCAAGAGAATGACAAAGACCAAATCTAGAATACTGGTTACCCCAGTGGAGGGAGGGAGGGAAGGGAGCAGGATTAGAAAGAGTTCCACTGAGAATTTCAACCACATTTGTACTTTTTATTTCTTTTCTTTTTTTTTTTTTTTTTTTTTTGAGACGGAGTCTCGCTCTGTCGCCCAGGCTGGAGTGCAGTAGCACAATCTCAGCTCACTGCAAACTCTGCCTCCCGGGTTCACGCCATTCTCCTGCCTCAGCCTCCCGAATAGCTGGGACTACAGGCGCCCGCCACCACACCTGGCTAATTTTTTCGTATTTTTAGTAGACAGGGTTTCATCGTGTTAGCCAGGATGGTCTCGATCTCCTGACCTTGTGATCCGCCCGCCTCGGCCTCCCAAAGTGCTGGGATTACAGGCATGAGCCATTGCACCTGGCCTGTACTTTTTATTTCTTTAAAAACATTTGATGCAAACATGTGAAAGCAGTAATAACTGAAAAGCTGGGCAGTGGGTGCACATGCATTCGTTACGTCAACCTTGATACTTCTCTGTATGATTCAAATATTCAAGTATTTTCTACTTGCTGGACAATTTACCAAAACTATCACTCTCAAGATACTAATTATGTCTATAGACCATGTGAATCTTTCT